CATCAATGATCCATTCAGATCACTTATCTAGCATGCGTTTGTGGCACTCCTTCACTGCTCCCTTCCAATATGGCTTGATGTATTTCCTGAAGATACCTACATACCTGTAGATTCACCTTATTTGCTGCCAGAAGGGAATCTGCATGGAGAAGATTTCAATGTCAGACTCAGCACATCCAGCCTCAGGAAACTTTGACTTCCCACATCAGGTGGGAGACTGCAAATGTGTAGTTGGTATACTCTTGTCCTGTACAGCCTTGTCCCAACAGAACTAGAAGTACACTGGACGTTCGTTGTTGGAGTTGGGATTAGCACTCATCGAGATACTGCACAGGACTGGTCATAAACCTTTAGAGTGTTATTATCGAGGAAAAATGCAGATTTTGTAAAGGTTGCTATGTCACCGGATAGAAGGATATAGTCCACTACTGAAGTAGGTCCCCGAGTACAAGCTTGAAATGTGGTAGTTGGTCCGCTACAATAGGCTTGGGCATTAATAGGCACTAACGTTAGGTCGCTGGTGAATATTTCTATCTTCCTATTTCTTCTTGTGATCGATGCTTGGAATCTTGGGCCACTCATGGGAGAGTTTAGGTCACCCATGACAATGACTTTACCATTCTGCAAGTATCCGAGACAGATGTCTGTCAAAAAATCAGCATAGTAGTCGAAAGGTTCATCTGTTTGATTTGATGGTGGGAGATACACAGAAAGGGTATAGTCAGACTGATGTTGGTTACAGAGAAGCTTGATACCAGTTATCCTATCACAGTCCGTCAATATCTAGCTTCAAAATGTGGTTTTGAAGGTCATTTTTGCACAGAAGAGCAGTTCTACTGCAGGAAGAAACCTTTGAGATGTCCGGAATAAGTTACTTGCAATATAGAAGTAGTTCTCGTGAACATAGTCCATGAGGCACGTGTTGCTGATGTTGGTGGTCAGCAGTGGCACATACATCCACTTCGTAGTCCTGAAGACACTGGTTTATGTAAGGTACACATTATTCCCCTGACATTCCATGACATCAGAGATAAGGGTTAACTGGACTGTGACATCAAAGCGTTGTGGGGACTTTACTAGTGTTGACCTTGGTTTAGATTGTCTCCCGTTCTCTAATTTGACGCCCAAACTGTTCCCGTGACAGCTGTGGATTGATTGTTATATTTTCCGGCCAGAAAGCTGCACGTTCCACTTGCTCCTTATACTCAGCAAGAACGTTAACTTGATCAGATGCAGTTCTCTTCTCAGGTCGACGTTGCATTTTTCCAAGAAGCGTTTTATGGGCTCTGAAGAATTATTTTATGGATTCCACCAATATAAAACCTAGCAGTTCGCACTTTGGGAAGGGCAGCAGGGAATTCATCAGCTTGGTCTCGGGTAGCAGCACCTTTGTGTGATCCTACATGTACTGTTATCTTTGACGTTTTCTCCTCAGAAACACCCTGTCTGATTGCACTTCTTCAACAGCAGATGTTTCCATAGCACCAGCAGTTTGGGGCTGTGTGTTTGTCTTCAGACAGCAGTTATACGTCGGTCTGTTGGAGTTGGTTGTGGGTATACTCTGGTTGTAGTCCTGGGAATCGATGCCTGTTTGCTGACATGGGTTGACTGTTTCTATACAAGCAGGTTCATTGATTTGCAAAATGTCAGAAGCAGACCATCATAGTTGTTGTGCACAAGCACAAGGTTTCTCTTGGTTCACTACCTGAGGATTTCTGGAGGGATTTTCCATCTTCGTCAGACGAATTGTTCCTGGATAGTGAATGCGAGGTTATCAGCTGTTTCTCTACTGGAGCTAGCCTACGTTTGAGTGAGTGAGTAAGTTAATATTTAACGTCACATCGGCAATATTTCAGCCATATCGTGACGAGAACATATGTTAGCCTACGTTTGAACTCACTCGTTGACTTAATGTTACCAGGAGACGATTCCTCAATGTTGGCTACGTCATTCTCTACAGTATCTAATCCCTTGTTGAGTAGGGGGTCCTTTGGATTTCAGGCTTGATATTCCGAAACTACAGATTCTTGATATTTCCAAGCATGTGTGATTTACTTTTGATTTAGATTCATGGACATGTTTCTGCAAATCAGTGATCTTCTCTTCAAACATGGTAGATGAATTTGTGATTATGCCATCAATTTCTGATAGCCAGTTTTTGTCAGATGATTTCAGTGCACAAATCTCTGCCTTCTGCTCTTTGACGTCTGTGTAACTCTGCACACTTTGTCATACTTCCCGTCTGATCTTGCTCTCGTTGTACAACTGTTCAACTGCTTTTGCACTGTTATTTCTCAATTTTTCAATTGTTCCCTTAAGCATGACAGTTTCACGCTTTGCTTCATCAAAGATTTTAACTAGTTTTTCTGTTCTCAACCTGCATTTGGATTATCTTCTTTGATAGGTAGTCAAACTCCTGAGCAAACTCTCCTTTGATGTCCGAAAGGTCACGCTCTAACCGAGATATTGTCTCGTTGATTGGACTATTGTAAGGAAACTGATACCCACTGACCTTGTCAGCTTGTGTTTTCCTACGTGACCCACTTTCTACATCATACAAGTATTCGCAAAATGACCCAAATATGCCCGATATAGTGTAAAATTATCTTTTGCAAGTTTTGTCATTTGCTTTTAAGTGAAAAGTACAACAAAGACACTTAAATATATTGTTCAAGCGCATAAGAGCGAATCAATCTGTTTGCAGTAACAACCTTTTCATCTGGAGTTGAACTTTTCTTATCAAAACCAAACAATCTGTGCACATAGAAATTGCTATCAACATCTTTCATTGTGCCAATTATTAAAGGGTATTGCTTCATAATAGATCACATCAAGATACACTTGTCACATCTTTCTTATCACTGCAATGGCAATAAACGTAATTAACATTATAGTGGCACTACATCAAATTTCAAACCCCATGACGGAAGAATGCCTTGTTATCTTGGAACTCGTAATTACATAAGGTAATAATGTCCGCTGTTCTGAAATATTCCAATAGTGGACCACACTTAGTTTAAAATGTTACACAAGTTTATAAACAACATATTATAAATCTCATATCCTTGACAGGTTCAAAATACAAACTATTAGTTCGGCAGCAATAGATCGAAGGAAATAATAAACATTCTCCATCCCAAGATGGGATATGGCTGATCATGAGCTTCATAATTTTACAATTTTTCAAACTACAAAGGTTCAGCCCAATCCTAATCTTTCCCCATCTGGACTAAGGTTATAACAAACCAACATCAGTGATCTATTGAGTTCGTAAACCGCAATTTACTGTATTCAAAACATATGCACTGATTTCAAAGCATGCATATGTGTTTGAAGGAAACATTTTATCACAATATCTTTCATAAATCTATTTTCACCAGTATTGATCTTAATTGTATTTCAATTGCAAGGACTCCTGTGTGAATCACCTTTCTTACAATACCTAATAAACGGTATCATTCAAAATCACTACAATCATATTTTATAGCATCAGATGATTTCATATCTCCTTTTTCACTTCAATTTTACCGCCCGGAGAGCGGAAGGTCGCGGGTTCGATCCCCGACCGCGTCATACCAAAAAAAAAAAGACGTGCAAATATGGTACTTGCTGGTCCCTGCCTGGCGCTCGGCATTAATGGGTACAACAAGGACTGTTCGACTCGGAGTCAGTATAATGTGTCTGAGAGGGGTATTCATGCTTCACTGCGGCATGGTATCTCAGTGGGCAAGCACTATAAAACTAGCTTCAGTCCTGGCTAGTACAAGCAGCGGCACCTACACATACACACGCATGCACGTCGTCATATGAGCGAAATATTCTCAAGCACGACGTTAAACCCAATTTCACCTCACCTCACTTCAATTTTACCATCACCCAGACAATTTACGGAAATACTATGAATATCATTTGCTGCAGAGACAATTGTTAATCATATATTTATGTAGAAACCTTTCAATGTTGCATAAGATGGGTGAGTGAGCGAGTTAAAAACATTCATCGCATCGGCAATATTACAGTCATATAACGATGAAATACACAAGATGAGTGCATCGAGATAGAAACATATAATACATGGGTTTGCTGAAGAAATCCTGAAAGGGGGAATTTGGTCTCGAAAACCCCAGGTCGATACATGATTAAATACCAGGCGAAGGTCTGAAAGTAGCTGAACCTTCCCCCAGCTTAAAGTCTGATCAGGGTTAGCGAAGAACAAAGGGCTGTTGCTTCCTGAGGAGAACGGGCAAGGGGAATGTCTGGCTTTTTACGTCAGTATGTATTCGAGGTCGGTTTGTATTTGATACAAGGGAATACAGTTCTGACATGACTCGCTATGAGTTCCAACGATGTATTAAATGTGATGTATTTTCTGCAAAGGCTGAACGTATTACAGGTTTCTAAACAAATCAAGCATTTTTTTCATGGTACGGTAGAATACACAATTGCCTTTTATGAAATAAAATAATGCTATGAAGACATGCGAAAGCCTTTGTATATAATTTGGTAGCTAATGTTTGCTGCTGTCATTGAGGCACGTGTGCTGTTTACATCTGATCAAAAATCACTGGAAAGTGCTCTGTGGAGAAGCTTGGTCTGTATGTCATCAGTACAATCTGCACATATGTGCACCATTTCCTGAAAAGATGAGGGTTCAAAATGTAACATACGTATATGCGTGTGTGTAAATCGCTGCCCTCTGAATAAATAAACTAAATAAACTATTGCGCTGCCTATTGACAATAGTTAGTCAGTTAGATCCGGAACATAAAATTGCCTTCACCTTGCTTTTAGGTAGTTCATACACATAAGTAGATGATACACATATACTATTTTACGTCTTTAGTTCAAGAGCACACTCAACACTGTGTTTGTTGTGCGCAAAAAGAGAAAGCGCAAAGCTTCTGATTTTAAGAGAGGTGAGGAAAGCAGTGCGCGTTGTAATTCTTGATAGTAGTAGTCATTGTAATCATATATGTTACAGTACATTGTTCATGCTGCAGGTGGGAGGGAAAATGTCGCCAAGGGCAAACCAGCATGGATGAGTACCACACGTAAACCTTTACAGTCTGCCAAAGTAGCTGTAGATGGAGAGACTACTGCAGTGAACGAAACATACTCGATGCACACTGAAGGTGGCGAAGCTACAGCCTGGTGGAAAGTGGACCTACAGACACCTGTACAGTCAGCAGAGGTTAACATCTACTTCAGAACAGACTGTAAGTATATCAGACCTTTGTTGAAGCATGTATTACATGATGCTTCTGAACTCATACTGTTCCTGACCTGACGCTAACGTTTAGGTTAATTCCCTCTTTGTGAATTACGAAAACAGTTATTAACCACACGGGATCAATGAACAATACATACTGCTTGTATTTAAAGGTCACATGCAAGCAAAACATTAAACATAATTACAACAAAAAATGTGAAAAAAATAACAAATAAACAAAATTATAAGCGTACAATCACGAATCCAAAGTGCAATATTTTGTAATCGGTTTTACTTCCCTCGAAACGAAGCACCTCGAAACCGAACCCAGTCAGAGCGGGTGGGTGTGCACTCGAGTGTAAACGAAGTCTTTTCATTGGCTGGTTCATTTGCCGATACTCTGAGGGCTCATTGTGTGTGTGTATATAGAGATAATCTGTTTGATTGGCATTTTAGAAGTATGGTGAGTAATAAGAAAGTAAGATTCTTTATGGATAACAACTTCTTTTGTACATGATGCGGCATTTCGGTATGGTTTCTTATACCGTTGTCCAGCAAGAGTGACAACGGTATAAGAATCCATTCCGAAACGTCGCATCATATACTATAAAAGAAGTTGTTATCCATAAAGAATGTATATAGATATATCGGGTTTTGTAAATACATGATCTCGGCATTTGCGTTCGATCCAATCAATAAATACTGAAATGGTGAACTACTGCGAGGCTGGAAACTGTCGTTCTTCCAAGTACAAAGCAGGACTTGAAACTGACAATCTGTGTTTGCTCCGGTTTCCGTCCGATCCTGTCATCCGAGAAAAATGGATGCAGTTTGTTTGCAATCCACATACATAATAACATGTCATATGTACAAGTATCACACCTGTCTGTCTGTGTAATTACATAATGTGACAGAAACAGAACTCGGGTGCACGAGCCATAAATCAATGTAATTTGTTTATGGTGTATAGCCTGATAGGTGTTAAGTTCAAATTGCATGTGTTCAATGATGGAAGTTGTGTATTGCATATTGTCATTAGCAGACACTCAGGCAGACACATAGGCGTCAATAAAACAGACATTGAGTTTTGTCTGACAGAGACTGCTTATCACAATCAACATATTTTTCTATGTTTCCATAGACATGTATTACAACATTTCAGTTTTCAAGCTGAGCAATTTGTAACAATGAAATAAGTATTTCTAATGCTACACTTTCTGGAAAACTTGGTTTGCAAACTAGCAACCAAGTATGGGACCAGTGTATTTTTATTTTATTGCAGACCCAAGATGCTTGTAATCACAAGAAACATCTTTTTGTTCTCCAACTTCGACCACAACGATAATCCGGTTCAAGCCGCGCGAACCTAATCACTGCGCATGCGCTATGGGCGCAGTGCAGCACAGTTGTTGAAACCACTTTTTCCCCCAAGCCCTGGGGTGAAATAAGTGAATCGTCTGAACGCCGATTTCGCGTGGTTTTTTTCATCGCGTTATTTTTCAACTTTACAAGTTGAATTTGCATTTTTGATAATTTGTTACTATAAGTCCATACCGAAAGGTATCAGAGTCTGCAAAGTTGTGTTTTGCGTTGCATGTGACGTTTAATTTCTCAAACCTTTATAAGTTTGGAATGTTATACAAAATGTCCAAATATACAACAGCTGTTATAAACAATACCACCAAGGGCCTTAATACAAACGCCTGGGCACTCAGTCAGTATTTCTTACAAGTTAATAACTTGGATGAGGCAGTCCTATGCTGAACACCCGTGAATGTTGTTGGCTAATATGACCCCAATCGTCACAGAAGGTATGATAGCTCTTCAAAAGTTAATAGGTCAAAAGGTTCATCAAAAGTTGCGTTGAGATCAGAACAGACTGTTTTCGGATAGTGTGAACTACAGCGATCACTTCATTATATTCGGGCTAAATCAAAACTTGAATAATTATTGTTCAAGAGTGATGTTAAAGTTGAAGAGGATGGTAATTTCATTGTCCGAGATTCTGTGGTAAGGATCAACGCTATACACGAATTATATGTTGAAACATGCTTCCCAGCCCGCCTTACAGTCACAACTGTTGGCACAGAAACTTTGTGTTTTGGCCTTGAACAGGCATTTGAGATCGAGGTTTCAAGTAAGGCACTTGGGAATGTTCAACTGCAAAGAGAAATTATGTCAGTTAGCGAACCCATGTCATTGTCGACTCTTGGTGTGTTTCTGCGAATAAACCTTCAACTAAAATATGCCGGTATTTCACAGGACCAAAAGCCGGATATTAAACCATTGAAATAAACGTAAATACAGTAGGAAATACATGCCTTGACCGGATTTACGTATGTTTTCAGATATTTCCTAACTTCGGGCATATATTTCATATGAATCTATACCTTTGAAATATATGCTCATCGTACATTTTCGTATGCACAAGCACCTCGTTCATGTATGCCCTGATCGGATTGTCAGGGATTTCCAAACATGAATTGCAAAACAGATACCCCGGTAAATACATGATCATATGGTATTTCCAATGCATTCCTTTGAATTTCAGTGGGTACTGAAATTTCAGATTTCGTTCTAAGTTAACTCGGGTTGGAAACATGTGAATTTACTAAGGTGGGGAAACACATGTAAATTTTTTAATTTCAAATATTTACACACCTTAGATATTTATGATATATACGTACCGGATTTCAGGAGCATGTATATGAACGGTTCATACATCTTCATGTTACCTGTACTCAAGCAAGATGATCATATGTTTCCATCATGTGAATTACAGTGTGAATTGGACCAGCTTGGGACCGACTAAAAGTCCGAATTATACAGTAGTCCGAAGCAGATTTTAATGGGTTATCTCCCTTTTACAATAACATTGTCAAAGAGCAGAATTAAAATTATAAAATTTTTCGCAATGTTTCGAGGAATTCATTAAATAAATTGAATAAACTAATGAATAAAATACTAATTAAAATACGTATAGGTAGCGATTTCTTACTTAATATGTTAAGAATAGCATTATTTTACCCAAAACTTTTGTCTAAATCTAAAAGTTTTCGTTTACGAGGACGGTATCCATTGCCATAATATGATTGGCTGCCTTAGGTCACGTGTCTGATTTTGACCAATCACGACCCTTATAGCAGACTGTGGCGGAAAAAGCGTCATTAGAAACCAATCTTTATCCAATAAAATCGCTTCTTACAACTGATTGATATCACACTGTGTCTGATGGCATCTTAAATGCATAGTGACATTGACACAGAGGGGACATGAACGTCTCAATTACAGTTTACAATTGGTGTTAGTCGCATCAAAGGTAATAAGCGTTCACCGCTAGACCACTTGGGTCTTGGCCAAGCCGGACTTCCTGCTAAGTAAATAAGACAAAATACACAAAACAAGCAACGGAATGTTTATTCAAGGTTTATTGGCCAAGCGGACTTCCTGCTCAGTCCGAATTATATAGCAATGTTTTTACATGTAACTACCTTATCGGGCCGACACTTTGGTCCGAAATCCGAAATAATGAGAGTCCGAGATACAGAACTTTTTTATTATGACAACAAAGAAGGATTACGTCGGGACCGTGAGTTCAGTCCTGTTTATACAGCAATCCGAGAAAGACAGAGTCCGAGTTTGACAGAGTGAACTGTACTTTGGTTCATGTACTTTCATTTTCACACATTTTACTACGTTTGAAATCAACGTTCACATGATCTCAATATTCTTATCACCAAAAGAGCCTGACAAAGAAAGCAGTATTACGCAAGCTAACACGCCTTATCAAGCTGCACTCGCTCTTGCTACCAGTATCAGTTACGCCTTGTCTGTGGTGTTGGCAAATCTTGTGAGGTGCATGTTTCGAGGGATTAAAAGGTTCAGTGGTGAACAAAGGGCGATGCGTTGCCCCTTTGTCCTCGCAAGTGTCCCTAGCTGTCCCAATAGAATAGCACTTTGTCTCTCTTGGAGCACAGCCAAATATGCTACACGAACCAACTCGTAATTTCTTAAGTCTGTTCAGCTCGCGCATCACCACAGTAAAATATTTTGGCTGAAGGGTCGTTGTCGGCACGGTACTACAGATATCTACTCCAGGTACGTTTCTGTATACAGAAACGTACCTTGGCCATAATGAGAATACAGAAACGTACCCTAGGACGATTCCATACCCATTGTGTGGTATTCTTGGCCGGAACTGTCATACTGTTGTATTAGATACATTTGATTGCGTTATGTAAGTAATGAGAATACACAGTAACGGATATTTCGCGATGCACATGAATACCACTCGGAATCAGTTGAACAGGAACAACTACATACGGTTTCGCTTTTGGATTGCGGAATATGGACTCGTCCGCCTTTTAGGGTCCGGGTACGTATTTTGACTTTGTTTAGGGTACATATCTGTATACAGAAAGGTACCTGGGGTACGTATGTGTAGTACCTGTGCCGACAACGACCCCTTCAGCAATTTTTGTGGCAGGACATAACTGGAATCTTATTCAAAAAGCCGGATATTCACAAAACCATTGAAATAAACGTAAATACAGTAGGAAATACATGCCATGACCGGATTTACGCATGTTTTCAGATATTTCCTAACTTCGGGCATATATTTCATATGAATCTATACCTTTGAAATATATGCTCATCGTACATTTTCGTATGCACAAGCACCTCGTTCATGTATGCCCTGACCGGATTGTCAGGGATTTCCAAACATGAATTGCAAAACAGATACCCCGGTAAATACATGATCATATGGTATTTCCAATGCATTCCTTTGAATTTCAGTGGGTACTGAAATTTCAGATTTCGTTCTAAGTTAACTCGGGTTGGAAACATGTGAATTTACTAAGGTGGGGAAACACATGTAAATTTTTTAATTTCAAATATTTACACACCTTAGATATTTATGATATATCATACCGGATTTCAGGGGTATGTATATGAACGGTTCATACATCTTCATGTTACCTGTACTCAAGCAAGATGATCATATGT